TTCAGGATCCTGTATGTTGAGACCATACAATGGGATCGTATGTCGCCCCCCGAACAGACCCCGACGCGCACTCTCACCTTGCGCTAAGCTTGAACTTCAGCGCTTGACAGTTTGGAGTTTAGTCGATGGGTCCGGACACACGCATACGCATCTGATCTGATCAAGAATCAGCAGCTTCACTCTAAAAGTTCGACGAATGGCTCAAACTGGTTGACAGCAAGGTTCGCAGTCAGACCTGTCAACTACTGATCCCTCTTACCGGTGCATCTCCAGCAGCAAGCGCTCTTCAATTCTTAGGGACTCCACTACAGGCAATAGTTCTAGAGGAAATCTGTTGAGAATGCGGGGCCTTCCGCGCTCGCCGCCTTGTCATGCGGTTTTCACTAACTGCTGTCCAGCATTCACCGCAAAAAAAAAAAGCTTTGTGGAAACTCCAAGTCCTTTGGAACTTCTTCTGCTGCTCGCCATTTCCAACCTGACATCCAGCAAGGCAGCTCAGTGGACTTAGCATAGTATATATTGGGCTAATATTGGGATAATGGAAAGGAAAATGGAAACTACAGGGATTATGAGGGTTATATGTTATATAGGTATGGTCCACAGACCTAGGACTGCTCCGGTTGAACCTAACATCCCTCAGGCAACCAGAAACCACAACCTCAAGCTGAGCCTTTTCCAAAATGTCTAGGCCAACTCTGTGGAAAGCTTATGCAGAAGCGTCTGGCCCCATCAGAGCTGTGTTTGCCTGAAGCGGCTTGCTCATCCTAGAGTGGACAGAAAAGGCATGTTGACTCAAAGAAGCCGAGCCGTTGAGTCTAAGCGAATCCAAACAAAAACGTAAACGTCCAAAAGCTCAGGCGACCCATAGGTCCGTTTTTGAACTCACATTAATGTAAACCCATGATTAATAAACCCCCTCCTTTTAAGGGCCTAAATATTAGGATCCCTCTGAAAATCCCTGTGACGGGGAGGGTTTATTAATCAGTATCTAACCTCAATATAATTTCCCTTTTTAGTTTCCACTATCCCATTATAACCCCTAAATCCTAACCCCCTAAACCTCATACACTCCTGGAAACTAACATGGAAACCCAAAAAGGGGCCAAATAAAGACTACAGTTCCCCTATAATGGGGCTACATGGGTTTCCATGGTAGTTTGGGGGAGTGTATATCCCTAAGCAGGGGAGGGGTTTACCCTGGGTTACGACAGCAAGCAAAGCCCCAGCCTGGATCTGGCCCTCCAGGAATCTGCTCTCAGCCATGTCTGGCATGGAGATGCCTGATCTATCATCTAACTTGGGTACTGCCTCCCCTCAGTAACAGTCCATATTAGGGATCCCATTAAGGGCTATATAGAACCATATTATAATTATCATCTAACTATTACTGAGTGGGTGCAGTACCCAACATTTAACCTCTAGGTTCCCTTATCACTCAATAAATATATATATATTTATTTATTTATTTATATATTACCCCAGTAATATATATATATATAACCCTTATATATTATAGTAGTTGCCATTTTCTTTTCCAGTATCCCTATATAACCCCTATACATTTCCTTGTTCCCTAGATGCCTGATCTATCATTTCAGGATGAATTTTCCAGGTGCTGAGTTCAGGATTTAATGCTGATCCTGGCGCGTCCTTATAAACAGATCTCCTTATTCCAGGGCCATCCCGGAGCTGACTGTTTACTTCTATGTGGGGGTTTCCCAAGATTAGGGGTACCTTTTTGGAGGTCCCTATCATAAGGACTATAGTATTTTGGGGTCTATGTTGGGTTCCCCCTATTTTGGGAAAGTGCCATATATGCAAAAGCCATCTCCACGATTATCTGCCTCGGAGCAACATATGAGCAAAAATCTAAACTCCTAGTATCCCCCCTAATAACCCCTTGCTTTAAAAAGCTTCTAAACCCTAAACCCCTAATATTGCTCTAAAAAGCTTTTTTTTAACTTTCCGAGCATGGCCAAAGCCATGCTGGAAATGGAATGCTGTGAGCCAGCGAGGAGACGTCCCCAGATATGTAGTCCCCCTGTAGTGGCTAGGATATAGGGTTTAGGGTGTAGGGTCCCCCATAAGTAGATAGAATATGGGGTATATGGGGATCTTATTATAACATACCCACAGCCATTTTCTATCTGCTTTAGGGGGGGACTATAACCCCAAGGAAGGACTACCCCACTAGCTCAGCCTCCGTCAGGTTTTCAAAAAACGTTCAAACATCACAGGCTCCAGGCCACCGAACCCTGAGTACATGCCAGAAAGCCTTGGCTTTCGCATGCCATACACTCCCAGTCCAGCCCAATCCGCTCTCATGATTCAGATGGGGCTGGCTCACATAAGAGCAATGATACAAAGACGCCGCGAGCCCGCTTAGCGGACTGTTTCCACGAAGCCCCACGCCGAAAGCACCTCAAAACCTTGCCCCCAACACGGTTACATTCTCTTTATCTGAGACTTGAAGGCAGCAGATGTTCAAGGGGCACCTCCAAGGAATTGGACAACCAAGCATTCATACCTCTACTACATGAGCCACTGTCTAAACTCCTAGTATCCCCCTTAAAAACCCCGATAGTAGGCCCCTATATCCCCCTATATAACCCGGCATCAAGGAGTTTCGACTATGGCTTACATGGCTTCAAGGCCAGCTGCGCATGTTGATGCCGCTGGGCTTGCACACCTCAGGGCTGATGGCGAAGAGAGTTTAGTTTGCCTTTGAGGGGCCTGTCGGCGGGTCTGCATTTCGGGCTTCAGCGCTTTGGGCAGGTGACGGCGCAAGGGCAAGAAGGGATCCGCACACCTTGTGGCAAAAGAGAATAATGTCTAGGAACTCGGGTACGTGCCAAGCCAGTGTAAAACTCGATCGATACGAACCCATATGAAAGCTCTGACTCTGATCATCTGAAAATACGCAGGTATGTCCTTGCACCTGAACCCTCTATTGAGAAGAAACCATCAACATGATTGGAACCCGAGCCACTGTGTTGAGCACCAGCGTGTCCTTCCAGCCGAGGTCGGTCCTCCAGTACTGTTGGCTCAGGATTTCTACTCAACCCGGGCAAAGAACTATCTGATCTTGCAATGGGCTGGAGTCTTACCGCATCTGGGGGTTCATGGCTACTGCAACGCATGCAGGCGTGTGGCTCAAGCTTATGGTTGAGACGGATTCCAGCAGTCCTCATCTTCAGGACAATCTTCTTCTCGTGCACGTGCTCAAACATGGTCAGGTCCTGCTCGCTGTCGGTGAAGGTCAGGACGGTCCTGCACGACATCGAGAATCATCCATAGTGTCTGCCCCTTGTTGCAAGAGGAATCCCATGTGAGTGGTGTCCAGCAGAAACCTGACCCCTGCTCCATCTTCTATCGCATGCGAAACTGTGCCTTCAAGAACTGCATTTTTTGCAACTCTGAGGGCTTACCACGAAGGCTGTGAAGATTCAGAGTGGCAACTTTTTTGATTTGTTTCAAGCTCGGGCATGTTAGAGTCCTGCCGTGCACTGAAGCCCAGCTGCCTTTGCCGATCTTCTCTCTCCATTGACAGTCCTGCTCTTGCAGGCTCAGGATACAAAGTCAAAACAACTCACAGGCTTGGAGGCTTTGGCAGAGCCTTGAAAAAACAATGCGAAAGCCAGTCACCTGCAACTGTGCAGGTCGAGTTGCGTGGAACTTCTCTTCTTATTCGTAAGGCGCAATGAATGAATCCCAAAGCTGAAAGTCGGTGCTGACACTCTAAGTCTAGCAAATTATCCCGGGAAACCCTCCTACTGGACTACTTTGCTTCCAAACGTAGCCGCTGCCTGGGACTCCCGAAGCCCAGTGTACTTCCTGCTGAGATGCCATAAGACCTCCGTAGCCCTGCTTTGCAACAAAAAGCATCCACGATTTTGGGGGTTCTATTGGGATAGTGAAAAAGAAAATGGAAGCTACAGGGATTATAGGGTTTCTATAGGGTTCATAATGGGGCATATATACATATATAATAGGGCTATATTGGGATAATGGAAAAGAAAATGGAAGGTACTATAATGGGCTTCATAGGGAGTATTAGGGTTATATTATAAGGACTCACTGCTCACCCCTCAACCAGCCCCGCAGGTCAACCGCCCACGATCCTTGGTTGTGATTTCCAAGGCCTGGCGCAGCGAGCCCATCGATCGATCCACCAAAAGCACACCTGGAACAGGTTTGAGGATCTGGTAGTTTCCCTGAATAGGGGGACCCCAATATAGACCCCAATATAGTATAGTCCTTATTATACGGACCCCCTCCCCCAAAAAGGCCCCTAATTCTGAGAAACCCCCATCTGACGGTCTAGGAGTCTAGCGGCTCTGTGAATTGGGGCGCTCGCTTTCGATCTTTGCAGCTCAGAAAATTGAAAAAAATTGGCTCCAGCCTTGCGCCGTCCAAAATGGCCCACCGTAGTGGGAGTAGAGCTGCCTGGGGACTTGGCTCAGAAAGTTCAGTCCCTCAAGAAACAGATTCCGTCTGGCTTGAGGGCACAAGGTCCATCCTACCCGGTGGCACAAACAACTTCACCACGGTCCTTTTTGACGTGTCATTCTGCAAGACTCTAGCGCAGCTCAATCCGGTAGTCGTGTTCCGTGGAACAGCAGAACCAATCCAACTGATGCTGTCTTGCATGTGTGTGTGTGTGTGCGAGTGTTCTGAAGGCTGCTGGGCCCAATCCTTTTTGACATGTCGTTCAGGACCCTGGCCCAACTGAATCTGCCGCAATCCTCAAAGTCACGTCTTCTAAGACGTCAGTGATGACTAAATGGAGCAAAGTTCGGACTCGACCCCCCTGAGGGGGGATCATGCCGTACTGCTACATGAGCAGCGTTTTTTGTGGTTAAACCTAGGAAGATATATCCCTTATATTAAATACTATACCCCAAAAGGAGGATATAATCTTACTCTATGTTGGGTTCCATGGTATCCCCAAATTAAATACTACTCACATGCTATACGAAGGAAATCGTGTTGGTGACTTTTCAAGCTCCCGTGTCTAGCACTGGGGGAAGGAATAAGTCGAGCTGCCAATCAACGGTGGCATTCTTCGCCTTTGGGTGAGGCAGCTGCTGCCCGGAGTAGTGGAACACCGAAAAGGTGCCGTTCCTCGCTATGGCATCGGGACATTCTCCGATGGCAACAAGAATCGAAACACAAATGCTTCGGCTGGTTAAGCGCGGTTTACTTCACCTTCATGCGAGTTTGGACAGGAGTCTTAATGCTCAGGGCCGAGAGGCACGGAGGATTGTGAGCAAATATTCCGGAAGAGTTTGGGAACAAAAGATTCGGAGCAAAAGTTTGGGGCCTTCTGGCACAGGGAGAGGGGCAGGGTGCTGAAGCCTGCTTTCTAGGCCAGGCGTCTGGTAGAAGTCGAACTTGTCGCCGTCCAGGGTGTAGATGTGGGGGTCGCCGAAGACGCTGCCCTGGGGCTTGCAAGCCCGGATCTTCTTGACGGCCCCTGATCCCCCGAAGTAGACGACCAGCTCGCGCACGCCTTTGGTCATCAGCTCCAGGACGGCTGGCTGGCCATCTTGCTCAAGGCCCTGTGGGGCGGAGATGTTGTAAAGCAGCACGTCTTGGGGGCCATAGAGCTCTACAAAGGTTGGCTCCTCTAGGTCCCAGAGCTCAATGTCCACGAGATTCTGCAATCTCTTGAACCGGAAACTCATTCTTGGACCGGGTTGCTCTCCACAACTGTTGACCTTGGGTCGCTTCAATTCCACTGCCAAATTGTCCTTGGCATACACCATCATCCTGCAATCCCCGCAATTCTGCAGGTCTTTGTCGATGCTAGGAAACATCTGCCCCCGGGTGTCCAAGACCCGCAAAGGCCCTGGGCAAGGAGGCTGCCCTGGCTGCGGTTCTGTGGCACGTCGAATGGCTGTGATGTTCACTCCCTTGATGGAGTCCTCCATGATCTCGTCGCCGTGCACGAAGCTGTCGAAGTTCAGCTCGGCGGGTGGTCCCTGGCAGAAGTCTTCCTTCAACAATACCGAGGACATTTGGAGCGTAGACTCTGCATGCTTGGAGTCTGCATGCTTGGCTTGCAGCATGCAGGAGGCATCCTCCTCTGCCAATGCGCTGGCCACAAGTCCGGCCAGAAGTTTCTTCCACATGGCCGATGGGGGGTTCGGTAGCGATTCTGCGCTTGCAGGTCGCTTTGTGCCGCAAGCTCGAGCAATCGTATCAACATTCATGCACACAGTCATGCGGCTGTGCAACTTCTTCAAACACACCCAACGCTTGCATGGTGCATGCACAAAGATGTCGCACTTCGCAAATCTGCACGCTGCTTCTTATGGATAAAGCGTGTACATTTCAAGCCTTGGACCCGTAGGCGGCAACCGAGCCGGTCCATACCGGTCTGGCATTCGGATGTTAACTGGGCAGCTGTGCACGCAACCTTTTCGGGTGGCAACCATTATGAATACCTCATCCAGGGGATGATTACCGTTGTTACTGCTGTTTTGCTGGAAGGTGGAGGGGCAGAGGGTGCGTGAGCAAAATTACCGTTCTCCTTCCTCCAGGGTCTAGACTGGGAAATCGGACTATTTGCGCCTTTTTGGGCGTGGGAGACTGTGAAACTAAAACGGTTTGTGGGCGGGCGGTGCAATTGGGTTTGGGAAGTGACTTTTTCAAAATGTCGTTGTAGTTCGGAGTCGAAACTAACAGAATCGTTCCCAACTTTGGGGGGGCAAGAGTATGTTGTGCCATGGCTTTTGCCTGTAGATCTTCTGGCTTCTGGCTTGTCTTGTTCCAGTTTTCAGCTTGGTGGGGATTTTGGCGATGTAAGTCTTACGCGCTTCTGCCTTGCGCTTTGGTGCATAAATGTGAAGTCAACCACTGCACGCTTTTACAAGTCCACTGCTCGGAACATGTGCTTGGCAGATCCGCACAGGCATTCCTCAGGAATACTGCGTGGTAACTAGCTACAGCAAGGGCCTTGATACTCAAATGGGATCTGGGGATCCCACTCTTAGACGTCTACGAAGACTGCGAATGAGGCAGTCTTATAAATCGTCTCGGCCCTCCCATCTTTCGTAAAACGGGCACTTCGTATCATCCTCGCGTGCCTCGCGAGATTTAAAACCAACTTACAGCCTAATGTGGGCCCTTCGTCTGCAAACTCCTCTGCTCTTCAGGGGAGCTGCCCAGGGATTTACCACATTTCCGGACTTCCACTGCTATCTACTTTTGATTGATATTTGAACACATGATTAACGGTCCACAAGCATAGCATGCAAATACTGAAGTATAAGTCACAACAAACTCTTAGCTTCTGTAAGCTGTGAGAAGCTCCTTGGCTGCCACGGCGAACTCCTCCTTAGGTATTGTGGCATTCATGTCTGGACTCTCTTGCACCTCTTGCTTGGGAAAATGTATGGGTCTGGGGTATGAGGGGTGAGAGTTCAGAGCTTGTAAGTCCTGGGAGGACGGAAAAACCTTCGCCCTGTGTGATACCGGCAGCTGTCGTGACACGCATGCTGACAGACCCTACAAGAAGAACCAGGTGGTCGCCATCCCATGAACATGAAGCCCTCTTGAAGGAGCACCTGGAGACAAACAAATCCGTGACACCACTTCATCTAAAGCTTGAAGTTTGCATCTGCAATGAACTTCGCCGATGGACTCTTGACCCCAGAGCCCTGCAAACAAAGCGTAGCACAGCTGTAAAACTGCTCAACAGGAGGCGAAACTCAAGCTACCAAGCTCAAACCCCCACCCACACACACACACACTTGCAGGCATCCCCGTAGGGATGTAGTAAGCTATTCACATTCAATTGCACTGATGACATGTCCGCACATGTACTGTAACATGCACTTGCACTGGTGACATGTCCGCCTGACATGTAAAACCTACCGCAAAAG